TTTATTTTAATATTTTAAATGATATAATTTATATTATATTATTAATCCTAATTTTTCGTCTCACTTATCATTATTCATTTTTTAAAGTTGAGATAGAGAAAGCGGAATTTGGACCATGCAGAAGGCATTAAACCTGTGTCTTGGACTTGGACCGAAATAAATACATGAAAACAAAAATTAATCAAGACACTGAGAGAGAATTACAAGGGGAAGTCGTGGTTGATGTAGGGTGAACCGCGGACAAGAGCCAGGAAGAGGGACCAGCTAACCAGGTCTGGGACCATTTGCTTTGAGAGGGACAGTATGCAGACGGGGATCGAGGTTCCTTCTACAAACCATGTGCCATGATAAGAAATCTACAATTTTATCAGTAAAAACTTAGATGATGCATCTTTGTTAAAATGACCCATATATGTCACCCCTTTTTCTTTAAAAAAATAAAAATAAAAAATTGCCTCAATAGGAAAAAGGGTAACATTACATAACATTAAAGGTTCTAATCGGATGTACCAATGGGCATATATGAATTTGATATTTTAAATTAAAACTCTATTCGAATACTTAAATAAATAATACAAAACTTTTGAAAAGTCTTTTAATATATTTGATGATGGATGCTTTTTCTATATAGAAGGAATAACCATCTTGTGATTTGTGGGCTCATAACTCACAGGTGACTGGGTTGAAAACTTATCTTTGATAAACTAACCTTCTTTTAATATTTTTGTCAATTAAAAAAAGAAAAAAACCTTGAGACTTCAAAGTTAAAATGTTTTTCTCTTAACCAACTATATTACCCTTAAATATAAAATTTATCTCCTATTTATAACCCATCATCAAATTAAAAACAAAAAAACACACACACACACACACACATGCACATCCCATACACGTCCCATTATTTTTGGTCATTAGTGGGCTGTAAGTAGAAGGTGGACCAGATTGTTGTGTAAAGATTTGGACTTTAGCCCTTTTGAATTGGATTGGAAAGTGGTGGTCTAGATGTGTCAGCGGAAAATAGTAAATTTTCCATGGAAATAACTAGAAGTAGAAACTAGATGAGTCTGGAAAACTGGAAATTTTCGTTTGTTTTGAGAAATTGGGCCCAACATAGAATTGAATTGTACTGAGAGATTAGAGCAGGGCCAGAAGGTGTAGGGCCCAGGTAAAAACTAATGTAAAAGAAAATCTTAGAAATAGTGTGACATGGACATTAGTAAAACATATTAACATAATTTTTGAAAATACTAGACCAATATAAGAGAACAAAGAAGTTAAAATCAGATTCTCTTGATTTTTTTTTTTTTATAGCAGAATGATTTTGGGATAATTTTTTTATATTATTTTTTTATATAACTTAACGTGTTATTTAAATAATTTGTTCTTTTAATTCACGTGAAACTCATGATATTAAATATATTCACTCATTTAATAACATGTGAAAGTTATTTTAAAAGATGATATGAAAATGTTATTCCTATAGCACCAGCCTTTTTATATTATTGTTAAGACATGTAATTTTAATTATATAATAAATAAAACTTAATGAGAATACATTATATCTTACCTGCTTTATAGTTATAATTAAATATCTTAATATTTTTAAAATCAAAATATTTTAATTTTTTACATTATCTTTTTACATATTTTTTACAGTATATTTGAGTTGAAAAAAAAAAAAAGAGGAATAAAAATATTAAAAATAAAGCAAATCAAATATACTGTTAGAATCTATAACTCTTCTTGTAAGTCAAAACCATCAGATGGGGCCCCTATCGGCCACTTAGGCCTAATGGGCCGTCAACATGAGGTCCCTATGATTCGAAATTGAAGTCCAATTCAAAGAGCCAGAACTATGTTCACGGCGCAATTTGAGGCCTCCGTAGGTAGGGGTTGCAAAACATACAGTATTTGTGGTCCAATTTAAAATGATTTCCTTATCTTTCCTGAAAAATTGTTGTTCTTTTTTTACATAGGTATATATATTTTATAATTACAATACCATGTAAAACTATATTGTTTTAATAAATTTTTATTAAAAAATACTAAAATACATTATTTT